CCGACAGCTGGACAAGCGCGTTCCACTACTCGCGAATCAACTACTCCCAAATAGCCTGGATCCGCCGCGGGGGATTTGCGCGATATGCTACATCGAGGAAGACAGTTTTTTTCTGACATTTTTGCGAGTAGGCACTACGCGAGTAGTGAAAGGGCACTTCGCGAGTAGTGAAACGCGCTCGGCGAACAACGCAGATCCTTCGGTACCGGCCGGTTCTGGCCCGCTCGCGGCGCGCAGCCCTGCACGCCCGCGCTGGGGTCGCCGCCGCGTCGACCCGTCGCACCTGGGGGTGGCTTCTGACACCCCAGACCCCCGACGTCATAACTTTTTCATTGCGTCGACCCCTGGAGGTCTCGACCCTGTCCCCGGGACCGGCTTCTCATCCCGAGTCGTTTTTCGACGCTCCCGAGGCCCGGCACTGGGCCCCCCGAGGCCGAACATGGCGCCAGACACCTCCCGTCGTGATCTCTTCCTTGCCCGAGGGAGGAGTCTGGGACTGGAGCTATGACCGGCCTCGTGCCGTCGGCTCCCCGCCCACGGCCGGCCGCGGGCCGCTGCCCCTCCTCTGGGGCCACGAGGCGCGGTGGCCGGGAGGGCGCTGCACGGGGGCAGGCGGGCATGGCCCGGCGGAGGCCTCGGCCTGCCCTCGGGGACTCGCCGCCGGCAGGGGGGGGGGGGGGGGGGGGGGAGCGGCGCGGCGGTGGCGGTGGCATCTGGACTCGCGGGGGGGGCCGAGCGTCTCGGGGGCAGCGGCTCCGGGCGCAGTGTTCGCCGACATCGGGCCTCGTGGCCTCCCGGGGCTGTCCTGGAGGCCCCTTGAGCACGTCTGCTGGAAGGCTGCGTTGGCTCCGGGCAAAGGAGCGTCCTCCGCAGTGGGGTCGCCAGAGACAAACGCAATAGTTCATCGTGTGGCTCCTGGCTCGTGTCCTTTCTCGCGGACCCACGATGCCAAATGCAACGCGTTCTGCTCGCACCCAGCACGATCCATCACGAAAGATTGCACGAAATAGTGCGTACATTTTGGAAACCCTGTTTGCAAAAGGACCCAGTAGCCCGAATATGACTGCGTCCGCCTAGCCGCCCATAAGATTCTCACCATGCCTGCGACTCTGAAATGTCAGCGCTCCGCCCCAGAGAGACCAGAGACCCCCCCGCACCGGGGAACGATCCCCCCTCCCCTCCTCCGCCTGAGATCCGACATCGCGAAAAAACTGTCTTTCCGTCGGCGGTGGGGCAGAGACAGTCCGCACCAGCGTGGGGCGAAACGGTGCAACCGATAAGCAAAGTGTCCGGCGAGCAAGAGAGAGAGGCGAAGAGAGGGGCGGCCGCGCGAAGGGTGGAGGGAGAGGGCCCTCAGACGTGGAAGAGTTTCGCGGTGAGCGGGCCAGAGCGGCCAGTCAGGGCAGCGGGGACCGCGGCAAAACGCGAACAACAAAAAAAACGATCAGGAAAAAACGCTGCCGGAGCCCTGGGCCCCACATCTTTACGCATGTCTTTGTAGCCGGATCGAGGGGCGCCCCGCTCGGGCCCGAGACCGTGCGACGAGGCTCAATGTGGAAAGCTGCACACTGCCCGGATCTCAGGCCCCCAGGTCGAGTTGCGCAGGCCCCGACATCCGACGATGTGCTCGCACGTGTTGATCCACAGCCTCGGACCTCTCGGCCCTACCTGGGGATAGTTGTCCGCCCCGCACTGGTCTGTGCTTGGGGCCCGAAAGGTACCTGGAGCCCGAAAAGCAAGGAACTACTCCCTGGCCGAAGATATCACATCGTCGGAGATCCTGGGGAGCTGGACGTCAACTCCCCCGGACTGAACAGAAGAAGGGGGAACGTAAAGGTCCGGATACCGCCACCCCCCGAACCTCTCCAGGGGTGCGTTCTGACCAGGATTTCGAGGCGAATCCAGCGGTGGTGACGAGGGCCGCCCAGGAGGCCCAAAAAGGTTCAAAAGAAGGGACGGGTAGCGGTATGGCACCTCTTCCTCCGATGAACTACTCCCTGGCTGAAGCAGTCGTCGGAGATCTTGGGGAGCTGGACGCCCACCCCTCTGGACTGCGCAGAAGACCCCAGACCCCCGACGTCGTGATTTCTCGCAACGTCGACCCCCAGAGGTCTGGACCCCTTCCCCGGGGCTGGTTTTTTATCCCGCGTTGCCCGAGGCCCGGCACTGGGCCCCCCGACGCCGAAAATGGCCAAATACCTCCCGTCGTGTTTTTTTACAGCGACCTTTGCAAGCACATCGTCTTCGGCACCGCCTGATCCCGAGGCTTTGCCTCCTCCTGGCCTTGACGTGAGGCCTCTCCTTCTGTCCTCCCCTCTTTGTTAATTCAAGCTTCGCGCGGCCCGCTTAGCTTCGACCGGAAGAGGTGCGCTCTCGACCCGCGGATCAAAAAAAAGTGCTTGTTTTACAGCGCCAGGGGGTCTGGGGACCTCCCCCCAGAGGCATCGCGCGATGCCTCGCCGATGCCTCGCGCGATGCGCTGGCGGCGTCGGCGATGCATCGGCGACGTCGGCGTGGAGAAAAAACTGGGCCCCACATCGAGCCGCATCTCCGATGCATAGGCGATGTGGCGCAGTCCTCCGACCCCATCTGCGCCGACCCCACCTAGGAGGCCTTGAGCGCAGAGGGCATCCGCCCCTGAGCATCGTTGAACCGCTCCCCATCCGCACCAGCGCGGGCTGGGCCCCACTGGCCGATTCCCCCCCCTGGCTGGGGACGTGGGCTGCTCTCTTTTCGGGCTCCGAGGGGGCAGAGCCCCAACTGAGATGGTGAGGCGGCAGGCCTCGAGCTGTGGATGGGGATGGGGGTCGACCCCCACCCCCATCCTGCGAGCGCGCGTGCCGCAGCAAAAATGTCGGACGCGTGTCCTGGCCGCTCGCAGCGCCACGCGGCAGGCAAGCGGCGCCGCGGCGCGCCCGGCGCCCGGCGCCCTCCGGGCCCTCCTATAGGCGGCGCCAGTTACTTGGCGGGGGGCAGGGCAGCAGGGACGGGCCCTGACCGGGGCTCGGGAGGAGGCAGACGGGTGACGTGGGGGAGGGGTGAGGAGGGGAGAGGAGGGGAGACGAGGAGGGGGAGGAGGAGGAGGAGGAGGAGGGAGGAGGAGGAGGAGGAGGAGGAGGAGGAGGAGGAGGAGGGGGAGGAGGAGAAGGAGGAGGAGGGTTTTTGGCATCCACGCGTCTGCCAAGCCGCACGTTCTGGGGGGACGGCGCCTCCCCCCAGAGGAAAGGGGCAGGGCAGGGCGGCGATCGCGGTTTGTTTCATGCGCCGCCACTTTCGCCACCAGCCTGCCGTGAACAAGTCACGACGTCGGACGCATGGAGGTGAGAAAGACAATAAAACTGTTGGGAAGACGGGGTTGGGAGAATGCAGGGAATGAGCAACAGCATCCGGATACTATGAGCGATACCTTCGGCCGCTTGCATCCAGCGAAAGGGAAACGTGCTGTCACCGCAGCGCGTGGGCAAGCCTCTCGGAGCCATCTTGGACCCCCTCGCCGTCGCTTGGACGTCCATTCCCCGTGAATGTGTCGGTTTCGTGCGTGTATTTTTCGCAAGATGACCCAGGATGCTCCTCGATGGCCCTCGCCGACAACAAATGCACACGTCCGAGCGATGCCAAGCCCCTGGAAACTTCCCAAGAATTGCACCCCGCACCCTACTTCGTGGCGCTCTCGGGGCCCTCGTGGAGCCCCGCCGAGGCCTTCGGTGGGGCCGTCCAGGAGCCGTCTTGTATGTGCTCTGGGCCCTCTCAGTGCCATCTTGGATCTTGGACCATTTCAGGTGTTGAAGCGACGAGGCGAAGACTGGGGATGGACCAAAGGCATGAGCAATGCTGGGGGACCAAGTGATGGCCCAGTGAATCGTGAATTCCGCATCGGGTTCCATATTGCAATCCGTTCCTGCTACTGGATTCACAACGAGATCTTCCCTCGTGCTCATACACGTTTGGGAAGTCGCGGGACCGCAATAAATTCCTGATTGCGTGTTGTTCCTGATACGCGGATTTACTTGTGAATTCCATATTGCGTCCCGGTCGCGATGCGGAATCACTACTGCATTTGTCCGCTTCCGTTCTTTATTGGTTGCGCCACGACTTCTGCATGAGTCGTCAGCACCGGCGGTGCAACTTCGCTGCCGACCGGCCCCCATGGGCAATGCCAGAATCTAAGGGTCCAGCCAGTGATGCGCAGAGAAGATTTCTTCAGGAGGAACTGCTGACGATGAAAGAGTGGCGCGTGAATGCGATGAGCGGGAACGTCGCTTACAGCGAGATGAAAGCGAAGAGTCCAACCAAGTTTAAGCAGACATCCCAGCGCAATCGGAAGGCAAATCAATCAAGCTGCAGAAGACTTTGAGCATGCGACGGCCACTGGGAGTGCACACGCCTGTCTTATAAGTACCTTCAACATGCTTGATACGACATGCGTCATGATCATTCCCCCAACGCCATCCTCCCAACCTGATTTTTGCATTTCTGAGGGAGGGGGGGCGGGGACGGGGAGGGTGGAGGAACTCCGCCGACTTCGTCCTCGACCTTCGGCCCCCCGTGTTTCGTCCATCCTGAATTCTCATCCCTGTCCCCGGTCCCGATCCTCCTCCTCCTTCTCCTCCTCATCGGGGGCGGAAGGGGGGGATAGGGTCGGGGGGGGGGGGCGGAGCAAGGGGCGAGGCGGAGGGTGAGGGGGGAGAGCAGCAGGAAGAGGATGCGGGCGCGCGGGAGGGGGAGGAGAAGGAAGAGGCATAGGACGAAGAGAGAGAAGAGGAGCGGCACTGCCTTCCCAGAGGGAATTTCCAACTGCAGAGGCGGAGACAATCACGCAGCCACGGCTGGCACTGCAGGGCCATCTGCGCTACCAGCTCGGCTGCGCTCAACACCAGGGCTCGGAAGTTGGACCAAAGGCTTCGAGGCTGCCGCGAGCTCCATGCTTTGGGATTGGGGGCATGACAGTGAATGGATGATTGTTGGTGATGAATTTTTATGAGCACACCACATCGGGCAGATTTTGGGCCCAACGTCATGTTCTCAATCTCGTTGCATCCGTCGCCACTTTGGCTCCAGGTGGCGCGCTGTCCGACCGACGACCGACGATCGAGACGACGACGACCGACGTCGACGACCGACCGACCGACCGACGACCGACGACCGGACCGAACGACTGACCGACCGACCGACCGACCGACCGAAACGACGACGAACGACGGCGACCGATGGTGACCTCGTTAGGCGCGCGGAGCCTGTTACAATGTGACGGGAGTGGAGCTGTGCCAGCGAAGGGCGGGCAAACCGCGTGCGTTTTCCTCAAGAAAGAGCTCGAACCAAGTTCCAAAATCGGCTCCAAACAACAGAAGCCATTTCCAAACAGTGGACAAGTGAGCGTCTCGTTGGGGATTTCTTCGAGCAAGAAAATCGAGCCAGGTTTGAAGTCGGTTTCAAGCAACAGGTAAGTGGGCGTTTCGTGCGGGACTTCCTGGGAGAGCAGGTTCGAACCGGGTTCCCAAACAATAGAAAGTGGGCGTTTCGTGCGGGACCTCCTCGGAAAGCAGGTTCGGGGTTCCAACAAATAGGAAAGTGAGCATATCATGCCAGCCTTGCAGCCGCCCACGGCGTGGGTTCCAGCCCTCGTATGTTCAGCCAGCGCGAGCGTTCCAGCCGCCCACGGCGTGGGTCGCAGCCATGCACTTTTTGTTGCCGAGCGCGAGCGTTCCAGCCGCCCACGGCGCGGGTCGCCGCCATGCACTTTTTGTTGCGGAGCGGGAACGTTCCAGCCGCCCACGGCGCGGGTCGCAGCCACGCACTTTTGTGCCGAGCGCGAGCGCTCGCGAGTGCGCACGCGGCCCTCGGGCAGCTCTGACGGCCGAGCGCACGAGTGGGCAGCCAAAGCGAGGGAGCCACGCCTCCACTGCGGCCTACACGAATTACAACCACTGCCCAGACACACACCTCATCAGGAGTCTCGCTCGCAAATTCGTCGACGACTGTATAAGAAGCAACCAGGACAAGAAGGGCGGCCGGGACGAGGCGAGGAAGAGAGGTCGAGGAAGAACCTTCCGAAATCCCCACACACCCACACACACACACAAAAATCGAGATTAAGGATTAAGGGAGAAGAAGCTGGAAAGAAGGATTAAGGAAGAAATGCCTTCCTGAAACCTTCCTTCCAGCGGAGGGAAGCAGTCTCTCAGAGGAGAGTCCGTGCCTCGCCCCTGAACAGCAATACCCGAATTGCAGCAGCGCGTCTGGGCTTGGCAGGGCCACTCGTCATCAGCGCTCGCCGGGCATGTGGGCAGCAGGAGGAGGAGCAGGAGAAGGAGGAGGAGGAGGAGGAGGAGGAGGAGGAGGACAGTAGGGCGAGGGGAAGGGGAGGACGTCCAAGAGTACAGCAGACACCTGCGACAAGAGATCCCTGCTCTGAGGACTATTGGGGCACATTCCTCGTCGATCTTCGAATGTCCCAGGTGTTGAACAGGGACCAGCCGTCCCTGCATTCGTATAGGCCTACCATGAACTTGTCTCAGAACCCAGAAACAAAACAATGCTATTAGAACATAAGGCCGATGTGTTTACACAAGGCAGGCTCAGCCAGACATGCTATAAGAACATTTCGTGCAAACCACAACAGCTTCTTAGAACATTATTTGGTAGGCCTATAGTCGGGGATGGACAGACCTCCCTTTAGTAAAACGTGGTTTAGTGAAAACGACCTGCGCCCAAACCTGGCGGGCGCAAGCCTGGAAAATAACGGCCGCGGCGCCTTCTCGAGAACCGACAACGGACAATTCACTAATCGACGTGTCACTGTTGGCGGTTCTGTCCACCCCCGATATAGGCGAGTCAGGACGCTTCGCCACTGCTTGAAGGTGAGGTGCCCCAGAGCTTCTGTGGACCCCCCCCCAGGGGCCACCCGGGGACAACGCACCCCCGGGTGGCACCTGCTAGCAGGCCAGCCTCTCCCTTGACGTGCGCACTCAGGTGGGCAGACAGAGGAGTAGCGAGGAGGAGGAGGAGGAGGAGGAGGAGGAGGAGGAGGAGGAGGAGGAGGGGGAGGAGGGGGAGGAAGACGAGAGGAGGGACGAGGAGGAAGGAGGAGGAGGAGGAGGAGAGGAGGAGGAGGAGGAGGAGGGAGGAGGAGGAGGAGGAGGAGGAGGGAGGAGGAGGAGGAGAAGGGGGAGGAGGGGGAGGAGGAGGAGGACGAGGAGGAGGACGAGGAGGAGGAGGAGGAGGAGAAGAAGGAGGGGGAGGAGGAAGAGGGGGAGAAGGAGCAGCAACATCAGGAGGGCCTGGGCACGCTGTCCTCCTCCGGATCGAATCCGCTCGGGGCCTGGCGCCCGCAGCCCGCCGGTCAGCTCCAGGGTTGGTGCGGCTCGCGAGCCGCGGCAGCTCTCGAGGCCGACATCTCGGCAAGGAAGGATCGCCTTCGAGCCCCTGGGGCTCCAGAAGTCCCACGCTCGATCAGAGCGGGGTCGCGGGGTGCCAGGGGCGCTGCAGGCCCCAGGTGCCTCCGGCCGTCCCCGCGCTGTTCTTTGGCCCCTGCCCCCCCCCCCCCTCGCCCGATGCCTCGCGAGGGCTGATCTGGAAGCCCAACGGGCATCCCTGGAAATCCATGGGGGCCATCTGGTCCAAGGGCTCCTGCAGCAGAACCCAAGATATAGGGATGGACTTGGCCAGGTCCAGGAGCCCTTGGTGGCGCCAGCGCTGGCCCCCCCTCAGCAGCATGCATCTGCACTTGCAGGATTTGCCAACCTAGCAACCCACAGCCTCTTGAGCAGGAAAAAGCAATGACCACGGCACGCCCGAGCGTCGCCCAGCACTGGGCGACGCTCGGGCGTGCACCCGCCCAGGTGTGGGTCCTATGCCTCTCAATCCTCCGCCGCCGACCCCAGGCGGCGAAATCGAGGGAAAACGCCCAGATTGAAAAATAGATCGTCGGAGATCCGGGATTGGGGGTCACGAGTCGATGTCCAAAACTTCAACCCTCGCACCCACAAGAGATTCGACATCTTGTTTGTTGTTGGAGACGGGCTCCCCAGAAGTTCCGACCCTTTCGTGGGGAATTGCGCGAATCGTTGCTGTCACTGTCCCGGGGCCCTTGGAGGAACCCCGGAGGCCGAAGATGGAGAACACCAGAGTCCGTCATGCTCTCTGTTCGCGACGCGAGAGGGTCTGGAAGCTTCGACCCTCTACCTCGGGGTCGTCCAAGAGGTGGGCGTCAAAGAGGGGGGGCGCAAATCATGGCCGGCGGCATGGGCGCGGCCCAGGAGGAGGGTCAGGGACGTTATTGAATAAGAAAAGGCGCCATGAATGCTGGGGAAATGTCATGCCCCCCGTTGTGACATCCGCCCCCTAGTCATCCCTTTCCTCTTGGGCTTCCCCGACTACACCTAGGTGTCACCTCTGAGACGAAGACCCCTCCCTTTTTTCTCCCCTTCTCCCATGTCGGCGTCGACGAAACGATGATAGAGTAAAAAACGGCATACACATAAATTTTTGACGACGGATTTCTTGGATCTGCACTGGACCCACCCTCCCTGGCGCGCAGAGCGCGCCCAGGGAGGCGCCGGAGTCGCCGCCAGGGGGGTCCCAGCGCAGATCCAAGAAATCCGAGCGGATCGCCAAAAGTTTATGTTTATGCCGTTCTCTATTCTTCGAGACAGCGACGACGACGACGACGACGGCGACGGCGGCGATGGCGACGACGACGGAGACGATGGCGACGACGACGACGACGACGACGGCGACAACGGTGACGACGACGACGGGCCCTCCTCCTCCACCCGCCCCTCATCATCCTCCTCCTCCTCCTCGTCCTCCTCCTCGTCCTCCTTGTTCTCCTCCTCCTCCTCCTCCTCCTCCTCCTCCTCCTCCTCCTCCTCCTCGCTCCTCCTCACTCCTCCTCCTACCCCACCCCCGCGCGGGGCGAGGCACGCGGCGAGACCGATCGACGCCGGCGACGACGTGGGCCCCTCGGGGGGCGTCCTCGCCCGCAGCCGCCGCGCCGCGGGCCCGCCGAGCGCGAGCGCGAGCGGCGCGCCCAGCCCCGCCTGCAGGGCGCTGGCCCGCGGGCCGGGGGCGCCTGGCGGCGCCGGCTGGGCCCAGCGAGGCCCCTCGGTCGCCCGCCTCGATCCCTCGATCCCTCTCTATCTCGATGCCTCCTCCTCCTCCTCCTCCTCCTCCTCCTCCTCCTCCTCCTCGATCTCCCTCCTCCTCCCCGATCCCTGGATCCCCCTCCTCCTCCTCGATCCCTGCCATTTCCCTCGCACGCCGCGGTCCTCCTCTTCCCTCGGCCCCTGGACCCTCGCGTCGTGAGACAGGGGCACGACGGTGGGCCTCTCTCTCTCGCAATGCTCGGCCCCTCTGGGGGGGGGGGCCCTTATGCCCGCGGCCCCGGGAGCGCCACGGCAGGCCTCGCGGGAGGAAGCCGCCGGTCCCGGGGGAGGGGTCTCCAGGCCTCTGGGGGCCGGCGCTGCCCTCGCTCCTCGCGCTCTCGCTCTCGATCGGCCTCCTCGGTCCTCCTCTTGCCCTCCCGCGCTCGATTCTCGCACCCTCGCCCTCGATCGGCGCCCTCGCTCCCCTTTTTGTCCTCCTCCTCCTCCTCCTCCTCCTCCTCCTCCTCCTCCTCCTCCTCCTCCTCCCAGAGGACCAGCCCTCGCTCCTTGCCGTTCTCGCCTCGAGCGGCTCCCTTGATCCTCCTTTTTGTCCTCCTCCTCGAGGATCGGCCCTCGCTCCTCGCTCCTTGCCGTTCTCGCCTCGACTGGCTCCCTTGATCCTCCTTTTTGTCCCCTTCTCCTCGAGGATCGGCCCTCGATCATCGCTGATTGCGCTCTCGCCTCGATCGGCTCCCTCGATCCTTCTTCTGTCCTCCTTCCCGAGGATCGGCCCTCGATCCTCGATCCTCGCTCTCGCCCTCGATCGGCTCCCTCGATCCTCCTTTGTGTCCTCCTCCCCGAGAATCGGCCCTCGCTCCTCGATCCTCGCTCTCGCCCTCGATCGGCTCCCTCGATCCTTCTTCTGTCCTCCTCCCCGAGGATCGGCCCTCGATCCTCGATCCTCGCACTTTTGCCCTCGATCAGCTCCCTCGATCCTGCTTGTGTCCTTCTCCTCGAGGATCGGCCCTCAATCCTCATCCTCGCCCTCGATCGTCTCCCTCGATCCTCCTTTTGTCCTCCTCGACCCTTCGGGACTGCTAGGAGGGGGCCCGGCCAGGTAGTGGGGGGTAGCGTCAGGGGGGACCAGCTCCTGCGGGGTGAACATCAATCTTGAATCCGCGCTCTCGGAGGAGGATCAGAGGACGAGTTCCCTAGAAAGGAAGATCTTGATCAGCTACTCCTCCTCGATCAGCTCTAGGTCCTCTAAAGGCCCTAGTGAGTAGAGAGAGCGTCCCATGAATAGAGAGGCCCTAGTGAGTAGAGAAGAGTATCGGCCTCTAGGCCTCTGTCTAGCCCAAAATAGAGAGTAACCTAACATCAATATTGAATCGGCGCTCTCGGAAGAGGATCGGCGATTTTTGAGGAGGATCAGAGGTCCGGGGAATAGCGGTATCGCCTGTAGATCAGCGACAAGCCCTCGATAGTGAATCCGCACGTGCTTGGGCAGGGTGTGCTCTTGAGCCCATGTCGGCAACGAATGGGCGCGGCGACTATGAGGGGTCGATGCGTCCCCCAATGAGCCTCTCTCCCCCTAACGTTCTGCCCTTGATGTAGGAGGTACTCCAAGGGCCCTCTGAACAAGGCGACGAAGAAAAAAACAACAACAAATTGCTGGCCAATGTTTGCAAAACATTTCGGCCTCTGGATGGGGAATCAAAAAGGTGCCGATACTGCTACTCCCCGGACCTCTCCTGGGGTGCGTTCTGTCCCGGATTTCGAAGCGAATCCAGCGGTGGCGACCAGGGCCTCCCAGGAGGCCCACGCAGGGGAAAACAAGAGAAGGGTAGAGGCACGGGAAACTTTTCCTTCTCCGACTGGAACCCAGACCCCCGACAGTAACATCGGCTCGACCTGTGCTGTTCCTCGACTTCGGCATTTGGGGCCCGTTGTCGGGGCTGCGAGGCGCAAAAACCTGCCCCTGGGGAAGGGGTCGGGAACTCTGCGGGCGCACCGAGAATGTCAGATCGGCGGGATGCCAGGAAAGACGACGCGAAAACAAGTAGCATTAGGTCGGGCATGTCCTCCTACAGCCAGACTTCGGAAGAAAATACAAGATAGTCGAAACAGAATCATAAATATACGAAAGAGAACGACAAATCGTCACCAGACGATTTGTTGAACTATTCTTGTATATTCCTCCTCTAGAGGAACATGCCCGATTTAAGAGCAGTGCTGGACCCCCTCCCTAGCGCGCGGAGCGCGCCAGGGGCGGCGCCGGTGGCGCCGCCAGGGGGGCCAGGCGCGGATCCAAGAAATCCGCGCGGAGCGCCAAAAGTCTATGTTTATGTGCTTTCTTCTCCTTCAATCAACGGCGACGTGCGCGATCCTCCAGGCCCATCTGCTCCGGCCCCATGTGGAGGGCCTGGAGCGTGAGAGCGTGGACGGGGTGGAGGATCGACACCTCGGTGCTGGATGCATTTTCGCTGCTTCCGGAGGGTCCTGGGGCCCTCCATGGGCCCATGGATCGTGACAGAAACGACTCGGGCTAGAGAGCTGGGCCCTGGGGGGGGCCATCTGGGTCCAGAACTCGTTTCCTTCAGGACCCCTCCCCGTCATGGCGATCGTGGAAGGTGGAGCAGGATGAGGCCACATACAGCCAGGCTTCGACGAAGGATTCGCCAGGGCCGATGCTGAATTCAACCTCCCGGGGGAGAATCTCTTCGCCATCGCCGTCGTCGCCATCGACTCTATGACGGAGGCGAGCCTCGAGGGGACTCCAGCAGAGGCAGCGAGGCGCCGCCGGAGGCAGCAGCAGCCAAGAACAACCTGCATCAAAGCCTTGATCCTCGATCCCCGCGACGGCGATGACTGCAACGACGACAACGACGACGACGACGACCATCGGGTCGGCGACGACAGACGACGAACGACGACGACGACGAGGATGCCCGACAACGAACGGCGACGGCAACGGCAAAGACGGACGACGGCGACGACAGTGACGGCCGACGACAGCGCAGACGGCGGCGACGACGTCCGTGATGTCGGCGGCGGCGGCGCCCCCCCCCCACGAATCTGCGGCTCCGCCCGCTGCGGGCTGCCGGGCAGGGGTCCTCCCAGGGAGACCCCGCCGTGATCGAGAACTCTTTCAGGGTCCAAGAGGGCCTCAAGACGGTCTTGCTCTGGGTGTTCCTGGCGCTGCGCTTCGGAAGGCCTCCTGGCAGCATCTGGAAGGGGTCAGCTTAGGGTCCTCTTGAGCCCTCTTGGAGCTATGCCTGAGCCCTCCGAAGATCTCGAGCGGAACCCTGGGAGGACCCAGGAGCGGCCCAAAAGGAAACAAGATGGTGTCATGCGAGAGGGCTCCCCTGGCACTTCGTGCTGGCTCCTCTTGGGCCTCTGGACCCGGCCGTGCACCATGGCCGCCCACACGAGGCCCGAAAAAAGGCCACTGGATGCCCATGAGATCGGGGCGTTCACTTGTTTCGCACTGGGCGTCGTCGCCCGGCTCCGGGATCGCTCCTGCTCGATGCAAGCCGCAGGAAGATGGGGGGTCGAATGCTCCGGTCGCGATTTCTCGCGATGTTGCATTTCGTAAGAGAGCTCGGGTCTCAGGGAACACCCTCCTTGAGGCAGGGCCCGGCCGTGCACAAAAGGCCGCCCACGCGAGGCCCGAACAAAAAAGGCCACTGGAAGTCCATGCGATCGGGGCGTTCACTCTGGGCGTCTCCGCCTGGCTCCGGGATCGCTCTGGCTCTTTGGGCGACCCAAAAGGAGACTACCTGCCAGAGCACCGCAACCCAACCCAACCCGAAGACCCGAACTTCGGGTTGGTGGGGGGGCACGGGCTTCATATGTCTGTTTTTTCAATGCTCCCCGACCCCCCACCCCAACCCCCACTGGAAAGGGAGGGCAAATCGGGGCCTTCGGGTTGGGCTGGGGTGGTTTGCTGGGTGTCGAAAAGGGGGTCCAGCCGAGAGGGGGTGGTGCAATAGATTGCGGGCAATTGTACTGCAAATGCATTGCGCCGGAAAACTGTATTGCACTCTACTGCAAGTAACGTATTGCACGCGAAGAATATATGGCACGCCCCACATGCATTGCAGCCCCACAAAGCTATTGCACGAAACCTATTGCACCACCCCCTTGTCGCTGGACCCCCTCTGGGGTCAACCCGACTGGCTCGAGGAAAGCCGCAGATAGATAAACATCCAAGGCTCCAGTCGTGATCTTTCGCGATGCTGCGTTTTGTAGGAAAGCTTGGATCTCACGGAAAATCCTCGACCCTCGATCCTCGACGACGGCGCTGTCGGCGAGGCCGCTGGCGGCCTCACACGAGGCCCACTGGAGCGTGCCAGTGGCGTCCGCACCCTGCGATCCGACGTCGCGAGCACATGCAGCATCGCGACGAACCACGACCGGAGCCCTGGACCCCATCTTTCTGTGGCATTCTTCGAGCTGGGTCGATCTGTGGTGGTTTCCCAGGGCCGAAGACCTGGCAAACAAAAAGGCCCGCTGTGAAAACAATTGTAGCGCCCAGACCTCAGGAAAGCCCGACCCTTCGCACATGGCCCCCCCTATGGATATGTAACTATATAGATGTGTGATATACAAATGTATACACATGAATACACATGTGTACATCCATATATATATATGTATACACATATATATATACATCCAGATATACAGCTTGACATATACATCTACATGTATTCATGCATGTATGTATATATAAAGATGTATGTATCGATCATCGCTCTGCTCCAGTTTGTTCCAAACCCAGACCTCCAACATACCCCTCCTCCCCGTCCCCCTCCCCCTCCTCCTCCTCCTCCTCCGCCTCCTCCTCCGCCTCCTCCTCCGCCTCGATTCTCCTCCTCGATCCTCATCCTCGATCCTCCTCGGCACCCCGCGATCCTCCACGATCCTCCTCATCGATTATCCTCGATCCTCCGAGCTGTATGTAAATACTAACACATATACATGTTTACCTACATACTCATACCTATACATTCATGCATACACACATACATGCATACGTACATGCATACATACATACATACATGCATACATACATACATATATACATACATACATACATACATACATACATACACACAGATACATACATATATACATACATATATATATACATACATACATACATACATACATACATACACACATACATACATACATACATACATACACACACATACATACATACATACACACATATACATACATACATACATACATACATACATACATACATACATACATACATACACACACATACATACATACATACATACATACATACACACACACATACATACATACATATATATATATACATACATACATACATACATACATACATACATACATACATACATACATACATACACACACAGACAAACATACATACACACATACATACATACATACATGCATGCATGCATACATACATACAAACATACATACACACATACATACATACATGCATACAGACATACATACATACACACATACATACACGCATACACATATACATACATACATACATACATACATACATACATACATACATACATACATACATACATACATACATACATGCATGCATACATACATACATACATACATACATACTTACATGCTTACTTACATACAATCATACAAACATACTTACATACTTACATATTTACATACACACATACATGCATACCTGCATACATGCATGCATGCATGCATGCATGCATGCATCCATCCATACATACACACAGACATACGTACATACAAACACACATGCATGCATGCAATCATTCATACATGTGTACAAACGTATACATATGTATATCTGTCTATATATAGGTCTTCGCTCTTCGCTGTGCTCCAGATACTTCCCCACCTCAGACCTCCAACACACCCCTCCTCCCCCTCCCCCTCATCCGCCTCCTCCTCATCACCCTCCGTACTCCTCCTCCTCGATCCCCCTCCTCCTCCTCGATACCCCTCCTCCGCGATCCTCCTCCTCCTCCTCCTCCTCCTCTTCCTCCTCCTCCTCCTCCAGGGCGCTCGGCGAGGCTCCCAGGCGACTCAGACCCCCTCGGGCAATGAAAAAATCAGCAAGGGAGGTTTTTCGCTGCGTTCGGCCTCGGGGGCCCTTTGCCCGGGCCTCAGGGCCGTCAACCAAACGACTCGGGATAGATAACCGGTCCCAGAGAATGGGTCGAGACCTCCAGGGGTCGACGCAAGGAAACAATCAGGACCTCGGAGGTCTGGGAGACGAGCTGGCGCTCGACGAGGCTCGCAGTGCCCGCCCAAAGTGCCCGCACTCCCCCCAAGGGCTCCGACCGCTCCTGCGCTCGGCGCGAGGCTCGCAGCGCCCGCATTCCTGAGCCGTCTCCGCCCCAGTCGCGGGCCGAGGGCCGCCGAGCCCCACCGTGGCCGCCGAGCGCCGCCGAGGAAGCGCCGAGGAAGCGCCGAGGGGCCGCCGAGGGGCCGCCAAGGGCCGCCGAGGGCCGCCGCGGGCCGCCGAGGGCCGGCTGGCGGCGGCGGGCCGGGCGCGGCGGCCTGCGACGGAGCCCGGCGCCGGCGGCGCGGCGGGGCGCGGCGGCCGCGCAGCGCCACGCCGGGGTGCGCCCGCGCCCGCGGCGGGGGGCGGGGCGCCCTGGTGGCGGTGAAGCCGCAGCCTCGGACGGCCGTCGTCGGTGTCGTCGTCGCCGCCGCCGCCGTCGCCTTCGCCGTCGTCGGCGTGCGTCGCGCTGGTCTTCGCCGTCGACGTCCTGGTCGTCGTCGTCGCGGTGTGTGCGGTCGTCGACGTCGTCGTCGTCGCGACGATCGGCATTCGAGGTGTCTTCTTGGCCACTTTGGGCTGGGGCTTCTCGCGTGGCCGCGCGGCTTGATGCGCGTCGGAACTCTGGCCAGAGCGCTCCCCGGGGACAGGTCCGGGGGCGCCCTGCTGGCAGCGGATCCCCAGCCGAGGGATTCGGGAGGGTCCCAGCAGGATTCGTGAGAGCTTCGGGCGGGGGCGATCGCAGGTGGCGCCGCGGCTGGACGCAGCCCGGAAAACTAACCAAGTCGGCACCCGGGAGGGGTCCGGGGGACCGGCTGAGAGTTTTGGTCAGCGATGTGCCGTCAGGGATCGAGGCTCGGTATGGCTTTGGGTTGCGCACAGATGGCCACCCAAGGTAGTTAGTCCTTGCTGCCTTCAACAAGCTCCCCCGAATAGTCTCAGTTGGCCTCAACAGGCCCCCCGAGTAGCCCAGGGTGACCTGTGGTACGGGCCACTGGGGTCCCCCATCGATGCATGCGATGCGATATCAGCAGCTTGCGCGCTTGGGCTTGACTCGCACATTTAAGGTCGCTCATAGCTAGACTCTCTCTGGCGTGTAACCGACACCCTAAGATCTGTGTGACGCATGCTTTCACAAACGGGCGTGTTCGCCCAATTTCGGGCCCTGGTCTGGGGCTTCGCTCGTGATTTGCGTGCGACGCCGGTTTTTCGTTGGTCGTCGCCGTCGTCGTCGAAGGCCGAGCACATCGAGGTGACGGGGCCGTCCTCGATGGTTTGTTGGGGGTGTCGTCGCTGGATCCGCCCAGGTGCTGACCAGGACGCGCCCGACGGGGAGGGGAGAGGAGGAGGAGGAGGAGGAGGAGGAGGAGGAGGAGGAGGAGGAGGACAAGAAGAAGAAAAAGAAAGAGGAGGAGGAGGAGGAGGACAAGGAGAAGAAGGAGGAGGAGGAGGAGTGAGGAGGAGGAGGAGGAGGAGGAGGAGACAGGGAGGAGAAGGAGAAAGGAGGAGGAGGAGGAGGAGGAGGAGGAGGAGGAGGAGGAGGAGGAGGAGGGAGGGCTATGGAGAGGGCACGCCGCGCCGCCGGTGCAGGACACGCCCCGGGCAGCCGCTTGCTCGGCGGCCGCTCCGCAGAGCCTGGGCGGCACCACCCCTGGCGGTCTGGCGGGGAGGGGGGCCTGAGATCTGGGCGGTGCAACTCCAGACCTGAATGTCGGGTAGGGAGGTTTGTCGCAAAGTTCGGCCCCTATGGGGCCCTCGCTGGGCCTCGGGCCCGTCAAAAAAGTAATCAGGATGAAAAACCGGTCCTGGGGAATGGGTCGAGACTTCCGGGGACCCCGTATTGAAAAAATCACGACATCGGATCTCAGGGTACCTACCAGACCACCCCGACCCAACCCGAGAACCTGAATGTCGGGTCGGGGGGGGTCTGGGTTCCATATGTGTCTTTTCCATGTTCCTCGACCCACCCCACTGGAAATGGAGGGCAAACTGAGGCCATCGAGATGGGTCGGGGTGGTTCGGTGGGTGGTGGTCTATAGCTCTGGCACGGAGGAAACGTGCGAGGCGGGGATCTATCCCAAGACATGCTCGCATCGAGCAAACATCAGGACGGGAG